CTTTCAGAATCAAGTAGAGAAGTATACTTTGCACATAGGTGCAACAAGAATGGCACCATTCCATGCATCAGGATGCTTCAGGTGAACCTTCAGAGCTACCGCCCCACCCATAGACTGTCCGAACAGGAAGCTTGGGAGACTACAGAACTCTGGGATCTCTGCACCCCAAATAACCATCTATAAGCATTATCAGCAATTCATGGCATAGTCATTCTGACAACAGTCTAGTCAGGAATAACGAGTATATGCTTATCTTTTACAGCAGCATAGTGAATATGCTGCCATGATGATAACAGGCTAAAAGAAGTATGAACACAAAAAGAATGTTACATGCAACAGTATGGAGGTTACATGGATGATACAGTTCTAATTTAACAAGACTTCACATAAGCATATATCTATCAGGCTGGTATATAGATCATTTAGATCAAGATGCTTTGTGAGTTCATGGACGTTGTCATGTAAACAGATTACAATACCAAATCCACTCTATTGGATTGAATTCAGCTAAGAGTTGGGATACATATGATACATCTTATTAAATGCCAACGTACAAGTCCTAAAAATGGTATTATGGTTACTAAAGCTTCAGAATTCCTTCATGCTTTCTGCTAGCATACTTTTTCCCCTTTTCCTTGGAGTCCTATCCAATACTTATTTAGATCTATCTTGGGTAAAAGAGAAATTTCTAAGATGCAGTGGTTACCTTGGTCTTTCTACATAGTCCCTATTGGCAAGACTAGGAAAAATTAGCTCTTTTCAATTCAAGAAGTTCAAACATTTGCTTTGGATTGTATTCAACACCTTAGCTTGAATATGCTCAGAGCTACAGAATGAGCTTTCACATGGATCGAACAGAGATAAAAGTAAAGGAGGTATGTACTCAATTGTAATCTGATGTCTCAAAACTAATTTTCACAGTCAGATATTTTTTCCCAAAAGAATACTGCCATAGAGCATTAAGCAGATCAACAGGTGATATACCTTTAACTTTTGAGTAATGCTCAATGACATCATCGACCAGCTGGTCAAAGCTTGGAGTATAGCCATGAAGACCTTCTGAAAGACCATATCCTGGATAATCCATTGCAAAAATTCCATATCCCGATGATGCTAATTTCCTAGCGATTCCTACAACAATAATGTGATAGAATCATAAATACCATATTCTCTCAGATTAAGACTTGTACTTCCAATATTAGTCATGAGCTACATGCCTTCAAAGAAAAATGAGCAGGTGTCTCCATAACCATGACAAAAACAAATCACTGCTTTGGGGGGACGGGTCTCTGGGAGCCAACTTTTTGAGAAAACTTCCAACCCTCTAGAGTTCACCTTGTAAGACTGTACCACAGAATCTTGAATGACAACCTTCACATGAATATTCATAAGAAGTATATGCCTAAAGCATATCAAGATACTAAAGGGAATTCCACAAAGAACGATAGATTCAGCAAATACTTCTTTTCTATTCCACAAAATAGAACGGAAATGGCTAAAATGAAGTACACATAATGAAGCTAAGGCAAGTTGCTCAGTGGAAGGTTATTAAGGCTTAATGCTTGATTTATGAAAAAACAGGAAATCAATTCTAAATAAGCCAATAGAGAAGGATTGTAACTTTGGAAGGAACAGTCAACACAGTCTGATTTGGCAGTGGAAGAAGGCTCTTTCCAAAAAGGCTTTTTCCAGAAAGGCTTTTAAGGTGAACCTCTTCAGCTAAGAGCTCCTTAACAACTGCATCCACTGAGGATAGTGGGTGACGATGAAGAATGGAACCACGAAGTCCCTCAAAGTCATCTCTAGGGGTCATCAAGAATTGCACCAGCCTCTGTTCCTCCCTGAAGGTGCGATATGTCAAATTAGTGCTCAACTCAGTAGGTTCAGTAAGTTCTAGCTAATCCCAGAAGCCAATCATAACTTATTAGAATTTTTGTATATTTTAGTTACCTTGATGCGCATCTCGAATCTCATACTGTAACTGATACCTCTTTGCAAAATTAGACTAGACAAAAAGTGTGGTCAAATAATCTCAAATTTTGTTAGTTATGCTAAATTTGGATAGATGAACCCCAATGGTCTGATCAACTGAGTTATTAATCCAGGTAATAATTTTTGTATTGTTGATATCCCAAGTACTCTTCAAATCTGCATATTTTTCGACCTTAATATCATTTGGAGCCTGTGCAACACCAATAATATAATTCCACATATCTTTTCCCATTAATTTTTTTTCATAATATAAGTCCAATAAACATAATTTCCACCTATTAATCTCACACTAATAGCTTGAAGTGAATCAGAATTTTCACTTGTCATTGTATCAAAATCAAAGTAGTCAAAACCCCAGCAGCCACCAAATAAAATAATAACACCAAAAGAACAATCCACGGTCAAAACCCAATAGCCACCAAATAAAGCAATAACTCCAAACACCAATCAACAACAAAGTAGAAACACTGTTGCAGAAGCCACAACCAGACTACCCAGAAAATCAAATAACCCAATAGAGGGTAGCCAACAATGGAACAACCCAATAGAGGGTCACCAACAATGGATCAACCACCAAGGCAAACTAGCAACACAAATTGCATAGCAAGCTAGGAAGAAGGAGAAAACAAAACAGTAGCAACAAACCAGACTAACCTCCCTCCAAATCAACAGACAGATTTGATGCCACAAGACAAGAAGAAACGAGTCACGACAAAGAAACAAGGGCAATAACGCTTGCACACATTGCTGCCGAGTGCTTGATCTGCCCAAATATCAAACCAAATCCACTCTAAATGGCTCGAATCAGGAGTATCAACGCTACCATGGTGAAACCCATGCAAAATCAAGAAGGATGGTAGTCTCTACTGTTCCAATTTGATGATATCATCCTATGCAACAATGACATTAGCCCCTGTTTTCATTCAAAAATTCTGCGGCCGAGTTCTACTATTTTATTACTTATCTTTTGGGATCAAAATCCACTTTGATACCATGATAGAATGAATCAATGAGAATAGAAAATAGAGAATAGAGAATAGAGAATAGATAATAGAGAAGAGAAAATGATTATATTATTAGATTAAAAACAAGTCTGTAATGAACATCTTAAACCTAGAAATACACAAAGTAACCCTTATATAGTAGGACAACACAACATAAAAAAAATACCTAAACTATCCTTATTATTAATACTCTAACATCAATATCTATGGTCTAGATGATAAAATTAGTGGAGTGCGATATGAATTGAAGTCATTTGATGCCACTTGATTGTGCTTATTGGCATGAAGGTTGGTATAAAGTGCACAAGTACCGGAGTTGACAAAACATTTCTCCGGATTTTGACAACTTCTAGTTGTACCTGCACCTCTAGGTTTATCTTTCATCCTTTGTGAGGATTCAATGGAAGGATTCTTCTATCAATGCAACACAGTAAACTCCATTTGATAGAACAACTTCCGTTGAGTCTCTACACTATCCTTTTGATGTTTGTTTCGTTTTCGGAAAATAGGATTTGGCTCAGGATTGCCCATTTTTATTAATTCTTTATA